TGTAAAAAATTGTAGTACAAGAATTTCTACGTTATCATTTGTTTGTAAATGTTGGTCGGTTGAAGTAGATTCCGCTTTATTGAATATTAAAAGCAAAGCAAATTTATTAAATAAACCAAAATTGAAAAAAAATGTACTCCTGACTCTTTTTCTTTCTGACTTATTTCAGTAAATATTTTGAATAAAACAGAAACCAGTAAATGTTACAGAATAAATGATTGGCGAAACATATCCAATATTATCCAATGTATTTTGCATTAATAAAAATATACTTCTGAAATTAATTTAGGAGCACTTAAACTAGGATTCACACTTTTATTTTTCTTAGAATAATGCGTTTCTCTCGGTCGTTAAGTGGCCGATCTTTCTGAGGAAAATTGATTCAATTCTTCATCATTGTATCTCCGTACAATATACACGGTACTCTTTTACTTAATTTTAAAAGATGACCGATTTCTCGATACGTTTTTCCTTTTTCTCGGCGAAAAATAACTAATTGTCGTACGTCAATAAATCGAAAGACGAGTTAAAACAACGATTGACAATCGAAGAACGGAAGAATATCTCAATGACTTGAAGAAAATTACTGGAAATATGCCTAGACCCAACAAAATATTAATTATTGTTTATGTTAGCAATTTTCAGGTTTAAATATTATAGTTCTTTAAATGTTCGAATATTTATGCCACGCTACATTTCGACATAATTCAGTTTGATATTGTTTGATATTAAGAAAAGTATGTGCAATAAATAAACAAACTTTATGTTACTAAACTATAATGAATGTTCCAATATATCATTAAAAAATCAATCCAAACTTACTATTGTAAACAATCGAAGTCCACAACAATATTTTGAATAGCATGATGACGTCCAGGTATTAATAAGATTCACTGCATGTATTTCGCCGATGGTTTTTTAGTGCTAGAAATATAGACGTTAGTTGGTGGAAAAATGCAATACAGCCAGATTCCCACTATTGTTTTTAGCTGCAAAAAAATCTCTTGCACTAAATTTCCTGCCACTACGAGTGAAAGATTATTCTTCAATTATCTGTTTTACATTATCATTTAGAGTAAATGATTATTACATTTGAAGAAAAAAATATATGTATATTAAATATTATGAATAATTGTTTGATAATGCACATCATATCCCATTTGAACTTTTTCCAACGAAATTTAAGCTAAAAAAAAATTTGTAAATGATATTTGAATTAGGAACAAAGTCATTTATTTCATTGTCACAACTATGACAGAGGCGATACATAATGAATGAACATAAACAATAAATAAAAACAAAGTAAAAATAATAAATATTTTGTATTTCATAAGTAACGATAATTAAGTTGACGATAAATATTTCTATGAGATGCAATATAAAATATAATGAATTTTAAATTAATTAACAAGAGGTTTGATAACCATTGG